CAATTATTAAATATATTTTAATAAAATTTAATATTAAAACTTTAATTTTTTAATAAATATTTAAAAATGAAATTCTACTTAGTAGAATTTGAAATATTTTATCCAAACAAGATAATTGAAATATAAGATATTGAAAAATGCTCTATCCAAACAAAATATTTGAAAAAGGAATTCAATTGAGAGTAATTCAAATTTTAAGCATTTGAAATTCTTTGAATTTTAGAAATATCAACCATACCTCTCTAGGGGGCAACCTCTGTCAATCTCTCTACGTATCAATCACGAACTTGGGGCACGCTCAAGCCTTCAAGCTATGCTAAAGGGGCACGTGTAAATTGAAAGTATTGCTTTTAATGCCATAACATTCTTTCATTTCTCTTCTCCCTTTAAATACTCACTCTAGGCCTCATCCATTAACCCTTAATAGACAAAATGTATTTGCGACAAAGACATTACTCGATAATAGCATGGAAAGGGTAATAAAGGAACGTCACATGACTAGGGTTCAGTAAAATAAGGCATCCCACACAAATGTTGCAAAAATGAAAGCCCGACAGGAAAACCACTAAGGGGGCTGCGTAAAAATGAGGGCAAGATTCGCTAGGAGACCCACAAGCAAAAGGGGTAACTTGAGCAAAATAAGGATCAAAAGAGGAATGTCTGCTAGGGAACACATTCTAAGTAACCTAGGCAAGAACCTGAGTCAAGAATCGAAAGACGGCTCAGGGGGGAATCATCTAACCAAGGTGTGATCCTAAGTCATCACTCCACTTTCCAAAAAGGCTAAAACACAATGATAACTTCCTTGCAACAAAAATGTTTTGTTTAATAACCCTAAACACTAAAGCCCACCTTGGTCAACCATTCTTCTAAAAAACCCCTTTTTGAAAAAAATCCCTTCTAACAACCACTTTTGAAAAAATATACAAACATCTCTTCTTTCTTTTATCTTGAACCTTATGACATTAAATTGGTATCGAAAAGATACACAGAGAGTGCATAGTGAATACTCACATAGGGAAGATCGAGACGTCCCTGAACGGAGTCTAAAGATGTTTGACTGTACATTGACCAGATAATTAAGGAGCAACTAAAACCTTGGGTTCAAAGGAATATGTCCCAGTAATAATAAAAATGGCACGAACAAAAAAGGAAATCGTCAACATTGACCATAACGCGTATAGTATGATTTCCTGTCATTAAAATTTGAATTGCATCTTTTAGGAACAAAACACAAGCATAAACTGCATCGCATGCATACATGGTAGGGGCATATGAAAGGGCGTTACACAAAAATACAAAATAATAATAATAATTAATAATAAAAAAAAATCATTCCTATCTTGCATTTTCATGTGCATCCATGCATACATGCATTATACTTGCTATGGATCAGAGGGAGTCATCAGAACAAAGCACTCGTAAAAGCTCAATAGCCACACAAGAGCCAAAGTCGTGTCAAAAGCCTCGCCTAACAAAGCCAATCCCAAGTGATTTTATGTGCCACCAAGAAAAAATGTGTCAACAGTAGAACATAGTGGAATCGACCAAACAAACAAGCCTATAAGCATGAAGAGGCCATCACGCTTTACTCCTCAATCGAATGAAGGATGATCCAAGACAACGTTAAGACTAGGAATGGCTTCCTGACCAAAGCGAGGAGTGACTTCTAAAATAATACTTACCAATAAAGATTCAGCGAATAACATCATCATAGGAAGGAATCCCTCCACCAATGATGACATAAAAAAAGGGAGCCGAAGTTAAAATCATAATGAAATCAAGACTCAGAAATATCCTCGGTCGGGGAACTGTCTAAAAGCAAGGGGTAAGGTCCACCCACAATAATTATCAGATCAGACAACTCGACAAGGTCAAGCAAACCCACACCAACATCACAATGATCGGTCTAGTGTTGGGAACGGTTGTTCCAAGATTTGTCCTATGGCTTTAAGTGTTCTAAGTGCTAAAGATTGTTGAAATGATGAAGATCATTGAGATGACAAGAAGACTCCTCAAGAAGTTTTAGTTTTGATGATATTGTATAAATGATGTTTGAGCCTATGTAAAAGGCTATTGTATTGACTGTTATAGATATAGGCTTGTGTATGTGTTTGTTTATGTTTGATGATGATTGCTTAATTCAAAAATCTATCAAGCTTTTAGAGAAACCCAATAATTTGTTTTTTAAGTATTTCCATGAGTAAATATGAAGTAATAGATTATCTTGAAAAGGGTAATTTACTACCAAGTGTTTAAACATAGAAATATTACTTGATTCAAAACAAGAGTTTTCAAGGTAACTTTATTAATCAAATTATCACTCAGCGTAATAGATTACCAAACCTGTTACTGGAAAAGGATATTCAAATGTCCTCTGTGTTAATAGATTGCCAAGTCTGTTACTAAACATATTTTCAAAGTACTATCTAAGATATGAAGTTAGAAGAAAAACACATAGAAGGGGGTTGAATATGTTGTGTGAACGGAGGAATTTTAAAAACATTTTCGTAGAGGGAATCTTTTTCGTCCAATAAAAACATTATTTTGAATACTTAACAACTGTGCAGGATTTGCTCAACAAAGGATTTTGCATCTGATAGTTTATCGTCTGCACAAGAAAAATGTTTCTCAAAATAATAAGTTAAGTAAGTGTATTTTTCGTTTGAATAAAGTTACAGTGATGAATAAGCAATGGATGAAATTTTTAGTATGATGTATTAACTAAACAAAATTGCGTTTGAAATGTAGATAAACAATACAAAGATTTTTATACTAGTTCGCTCAGACTAAGCTACGCCCAATCTCCTTCAATTGAAGGGTTCCACTAGATTTTCAATTAAGTACAAGTATTATCATCACTTCTGGTTTGCCAAGTATTGTCGACTACTTCTGGCCCGCCAACTTCACTCGTCAGTGCTAGTATTCTTTGTTCAGCCTCTTCAGGCTCGCAGTGAGTATTCTTGACCACTCCTGGTCCTTAGTATTATCAACCACTACCGGTTCACCAACTTCACTCATTGGTGCTAGTATTCTTTGTTCAGAAGGCTCTTAGTGAGTATTCTCGACTACTTTTGGTCCCTGAGTATTATCAACCACTCTTGGTTGGCCAACTTCACTCATTAGTTCTAGTATTCTTTGTTCAGGCTCTTAGTGAGTATTTTCGACCACTCCTGATCCCCGAGTATTATCAACCACTCCTGGTTGGCCAACTTCACTCATTGGCTCTAGTATTCTTTGTTTAGCCTCTTCAAGCTGTTAGTGAAGATTATCGACCACTCATAGCGTGCTAACTTCACTCATTAGTGCTAGTACACGTGTTGTTTGTGTAGGCCTCAAGCTTAGTTGAATGGTTAATAACATGAATGTTAGAAGAACTCAATAGAGGCAATGTAATAACTTAATGTTCTTAGATATCATTAGAGTTCGTGAACAGTTTTTAAATGAGCAAGTTATCCATTGATCAATCCAAATATTTCACTAAGAAATGAGGTTATAATAAAGCACTAAATTCATGTACTTCCTATTTTTTTCCGGTGCATCTCAATCACTATTCACAATCGTCTTGAGATCACAGGTGGTTTTGTATAGAACATAAGAGATCTATGTTGCTAAGATTCAGGGCCTCATCATTGTTCCAAATAAAAATACATTCAACATAACAAGCAAAAGAGACTTTGAACTTCTAATACTAATACATGAAAGTAAACACTATAAATTAGCTACAGAATATTAACCTAAGTACAGAACACTAGACATTTTTATTTAATGATAAGTCAGCAATGGCAGCAGTAAGATCATCAAGTGAGTTTTCCTTTATGTCCTTCCACTTCACTAAATCACCTAAAGATGATGGCACAGTTTGAAATGAATTCTCTGATAAAGCATTGTCCAACTGATTAACCAATTCACCTTCCTCAGATGGAATGTCTAAATCCCAGATTTTGAAGATATTCTCAGCAAGTTGCTCCATCTCATTAGAGGAAGAATCCGGATTATTAACTCCAAAATCAACGGTTTCATTCTCCTTCAAGTCTTCATTATAAGTTGGCAAGAAAGGATTGAAAGATGGCAAAGTACGAGTCTTTTCATCATCTAGAATTTCATTAGTACTTGTTTCTACGGCCATGCGGAGTAATGGGTTAACATTATAAATTGAAGAAAGCTCAGATAAGTGTTTCTTATCAGAAGATGAAGAAGGTTTAAATAAGTGTTTTCCATCAGAAGTTGAAGAATGCTCATTAAGTTGTACCGTAGTACATTCTGAACTAATATTGTAGGGAGGAATTTCCATGTCTTCTCCTTCAGTGTTGAGGGATTGAAATTGGGAACTGATAATTTCTAATAAAGCATGTTGCATAGGGATCCAATCACTTTCTGAAATATCAGAATCTTTAACTAGGCAGGAATCAACCCAAGCAAGATCTTCAGGAGAAATAACTTCATTTTGTCGAAAAGCTATCGAATTGAGAATATCAGAAGAAACTGAAACTCCATGCTCTACCTTTTTGTCATCCATAGCTACAAACAAGTCCATAGATATAAATGTAAGTGGAAAAAAAAAAAAAAAAAGTAGTGCTTTGTGTTGATGAAACTCAACAATGAAACACAATATAGTAATTCATTTCATAAATATGGCAATCTCAATTTCAATTATGATATCAATACTTGTAAAGGTATGGATCGATATTGATATGAGGTATCACCCAATGACTAGAAAGATATAAGAAAAAGATTTTCATGTTCCACATTAGATGCACACATTCATCAATGCAAGTTGGCAAAGAAATCCATAAAACAAACAACCTCATATCACTTCCACAATAGATATATCACAAACAGTATGTGGGTGCCACTAACATCCATTAAAGTGTCTAGAAGTTGGTTTTCTATTGACTGAACTAACATTTTAACACTTCAAGTTGAAAGACTATAAAAGAAAAAATCAGTTGATTTTCACAAACTCAAACATATATTTATATATATATATATAACAAAGAAAAGAAGGTCATATGACTGCACAAGATCTTCCAAAAAGACGCAAAAATGACTTGGCCAAGGAAAATATTGTAATTCATGAACATTAGTCTAAACTTGAAACCAAAATTAAAATTCATAAATTTTTATGCCATAACTAATAGGCCCAAAACAACTACTCATAATCAGCCACATAATACGAACATAAGAAACTACTAGTATCCTTCATCATAGACAATCTTATTTGAACTAAGAAAAATCACTATGGGCAGCAAAACTCCCATTCCAAATATTTAACAAAATTACATACTCAAAACTGGAACTTGATAACACTAGATAAGCTAGAATCATCATGTTCCAATTGATCTACGCATTCTGTATTAACATAAGAAACTATATTTTAATGAAGTAAAACATCTTTACATCTAAATTTTAATACTATATTAAAATGACAAAGGCAGAAAGATAAAAATAAAAATTTATGATTTTAGGTAGACAAAAAAAATATTAATTAGTGGTCGCAGGACACAAACCATGAAATACAAAATGATAGAACCAGAACACAAATTGTTAGAATTAAAAGGGGGAAGAAAAAGGGAATAACGAACCCTAGGGATTTCTGATTTTTTTCCACTTTGTGAACTGGACAGGTAATGAAATATAGGTTTCTAATTGAAACCCGACCTAGAAATCCAACACACAAACCAACCGCTAAAGATCGAAACGACACAAAACAACCAATGACCACGAACATAAATTCGTCGTTCATGTTCTCAATAATCAATCAACGTTAAACCATTTTACATTGGCAATATCAAAAAAACAGCACATTAAGCACAGACATTTAAAGCTCTGAATCAAAATTTTAAACACATCAAAACATAAATATAAAATAAAAATCATAGGGACATACAAAGACAGACACAGAGAGAGAGAGAGAGAGAGAGAGAGAAACCTTTTTCCCCAACGAAAGCCATTGGCGTCGAAATGAAGAAAGGAAGCAACGAGAACCAACAAGGGTGAGTATAGGTAAATATGTGAGTATTTTTTAACTGATCACTCAATACAGTGCATTACAATATTTTTTAGTGTTTTTATTAAATTTTTTAAAGAAAGTGTTTTTTTCAAAAAAAAATATCTTTGAAAATATTTTTTGAGATTTTAATTCAATATTATTTATTTTAATCTGTATACTTATATTTATTTCTCTATTAAATTCTAGTTTTTTTAAAATAAAATATCAATAATTAAAAATAATCTTATATTATGATATAAGATTTTAGATTTTAATATTTTTTGTCCCTGAATTATACATGTTTTTTATTTTTGGTCTCAAAAATTAGTGTTTAACTTTTATTTTTTGTAAATTTATCTTTTTTTCATTTTTTTAATATCTTATAACTTATTTTAATAGTTTGGATGAAGGGTCATATGTTGAAAAATTATATCAAGTGAATTTAAGTCACTTGATATTAAACACGTCATACAAAATATTAAAAAAAAAGTGATGACAAAACTAAAAAATAAAAAAATAAAAAAGTTATAGGGAACAAAAGTTAAGTAAAAAAACTTTATAGACCAAAGGTGAAAATCGTGTATATTACAAAGTCTCAAAGATATTTAAGACATGATTTTTATATAAATCTAAAAAAAATGGTGCATATTAAAAAAACATATTTATTTATTTTATAAAAATTAAAAAAACATATTTGAATTTGTGATATTTATATACTTAAAAAATAATATTTTATACATAATTTATTATAAATTTTAACTATTTTTTATGAGTAAATTTTAACTATATAAAATAGATATTTTGCATGTATATTACATGTGCGCATACTGAAATAATAATTAAGGTAAACAGTAACAGTAAAATTATAATTACAACTTTGTTTCATAAAAAAAATATTTTTAAAATATATAAATTATTTTTTTAATAAAATATTGTATTTTTCATTATCGGACTTAGAATAATTAGTTGAAGTTAAAATAATATTTATTATCATGATTTTATATATATATATATAGATATATATGATTAATTGTAATTTTAGTCCTCTTAATTCAATAAAGAGGTAATTTTAGTCAATGTAATTTTGATTGTTTAAATCTAATCTTTTTACTTTTAAAAGCAATAATGAATTATTTTAGTTTCTAAAAATATAAGGTATTAAACTAATAAGTTAATTCTTAAAAGAACCAAATTTTTAAATTAGTCTTTGAAATTGTATCTCATCCATCAATTTGGTTTAAACATTAGTATTATTATTTGTTGCTAAACAATGTTAATTAAAGTTTACTATCACATTGAGTGCGATGTAGGCACTTCCTCTCTCATGTAACATTCCGATTTTTATAGATTATACAAAAGCTCAAAGTTCAAAAGGGTGATTTAATAGCTCAGAACGGGTCGTTTCCAAACTAGAACAGACCGTTTTAAACTACTAAAAAGACCTATATTTAGTAGCTTAGAACGGGCTGTTCCAAACTACTAAAATGACCTATAACTCTAGTTGGAAACGGGTCGTTCTAATTTAAGAACGGGTCGTTTCAAACATGGTCGTTATGGGTTAAAATGCAACCCTAGAACGAGCCGTTCTAGTTTAAGAACGAATCGTTCTGGATGTGAATTTTACACATAATGAATGAGTCCAGAACAGGCAGTTCCGGGTTCAAAATGGGTCATTCTGATCATTCTTGATGTCTATAAATAGCACCCTCTAGCTGTAACGCCTAATAGTATTAATATTAATCTCAATAAATATATATATATAGCTAAAAAAAACACATATATGATAATATTATATATTATATCATATCATAATTACTTATCATTACAAAATTTTACAAAAACACGCGTAGTTGCGTTTCTTACCTATTTATATAGTACAGATTATTGCAAGCCTATTTACACATCATATTTTTATTTTTCTACTTCTATACTAACTACATAGGTGGTTGGAACAAATTCACGATGGGGTTCACATGGTTTCCAGGTGGTAAAAAGAAGGTGACTATTAGGGGACCATCAATCACGGTAGGGATTTCTTGATTTGGGGAGAAAGTAAAGCTTGACACTGCTATCTCGTTGAAAGTTACAGAGTTAGCAAGAGCATCGACGCTCCAGGTGGTTCCAGAGAAAACAGCAGTTATGACAGCAGGGAAAGGGGCAGGTATTGCTGGCACATCCATCTATATTTATTTAATTATTAAATATTTCAAACACAAGAAACACAAGGAGTAAGAACATTTTTCAAAGAAATATTCATAATCATAAAACATGCGTAACAATAGTTAAAATTAAACAATAAATATAAAATTTGAATTTCAATTGTAGTGACTAGTCAGGATAAATGAGCATTATAATATTAACTAGCGCAAGAATATTTAATCATAATTTCTTACCCATTTAAATCCCCAAGGTCAAACCTCCAACTACAAATAGTTCAAATTTTATCTTCTATGGCCATAGGGTAATATTTATCTTTAAAATGAGTTAAGGACAATTAAACAAAATTATATTATAATTCATCATAAAAGTAATCACTCTAAATAAATTTGAGAATTTATCATTATTTAAACTTTAATTAAATAACATATACGTAAATAAAATATATTAAGAGCACCAATTAATTAAATGACAATGATAATTATTATAAAATAATTAAACAATATAAAATATAAACATATTAATAATTATTATAATTAAAAATAATCATAGAATAAGCAAATAAATGATGTTAGGGACACCTCACTAAATAAATACATATAGATAATAACATAAATAAATAAACATAGTAGTAAATAAAATTTAAAAGAGATAAAATTCTCCTCCCCCTTACCTTAAAATGTAGATTTATCAAGGTTTTATTCTTTCTTCTTTCCCTCTTTTCTCACCGTTCCTGTTTTCTCTTCAAAAAAAAATTTCTCACCGTTGAGGTAAAACGTATATTGCGTATTATTTATAGGCAGTTTGAAATTTACTTTCGTAAGCAATTACGTAAATTTGGTACGGGGTTCATTTATAAGCTGATTGTTTACTGAGCCACGCAAGAATTTTATGATGGTTACCAATACAGATTATGCTAACGTGGCTGGTTTACAAGTGCGGATGTGAGACTGGATTCGCGGATGTGAGACTGGATTCTCCTGGTTTACATGTGCATGTGGGGGCTCATTTACTGGCATATGGATTTTTCCACGTGCTTGGTTATAGTATAGTTATCTCTTCCCACTTGCATCCGTTGTTAACCCACATAAATCCATTGCATCTGTTGCCACGTATGCCACGTTCATAGTGAGACCACAGAACCATTTTATTTTATATGTCTATAATATCATGTAAATTTATAATAAGTTATTTTTCATGGATAATATTTATAATATAATTAGTTAGTACACCTATATATATATATAT